AAGTGTAAATAGTGGACTTAACACCATATCGCGTTATATACCAGCCGACTGTAGACAGGAATAACAAAAAATATAATTGACGGTGCAACGTAAAAAACAATATTAAAACAGTCATTAAAAAATAACATACATACTCATATTATTTAATCATAAATTAAAAAGAAATACTTATTTAAAGCAATTTTAATAATATTATTGAAATATAAAAATCATTACGTAAATATGTTCTTAAAAAAAAATAAAAAACTCAATAAACCAGAGACGGTTGACCGAAAATCATACTAGATTTATAATTTGAGGTCGAATGATAGCCGTTTTTCGGTGCCCAAAAGTTCTGATGGCGAATAAAAAACTCGTTAAGGTTATTATGTCTAATAAACGAGAGTATATGGTCTCATACCATAATGGCGTGGTCATTAGAATAATGCGCAGGATCGCCTCGGGTGCACCGACGGAGTGTCGCCGTCCGCGCGCTCTATTTACCATTTTATTGAACCTAATTAGGGTGACGGTAATGCGTTTAGTTTTCTCAAAAGTAGTTTGATATTAGATTTTTTTTTATAATTGAAATTTTTATATACAAATTGTTATACGTATGTATAATAAAATGATGTTTTAAATAGTAATAAAAAATATAGGTACTCACGTTTTTAGTCTCTTCGTGCTACGCGGTTTATTTTGATTTTCGATCGATTTCAAAAAAGGAACAGGTTCTCGGTTCGTTTGTTTCTTTTACTTTTACTATCTCATAGCTCCGTCATTTATAAGTCATCATCATCATTTTCGGCCATTGTCTGTCAACTGCTGAATATAGATCTATCCCATAAGGAACAGTCCTGAGCCACCTGCATCCACTGACTCATTGTAATGCATTTGTGGTTGTCACTTCATCTAGTGGGGGGAGGCTCATCCTACACTGCATTTGCCCATACGGGATCGCCACTCAAGAAGCCTTTTTCCTTATCGGTTGTCGTTTATATGAGTCAGTGCCCATATCATTGACACATCAGCTTGCTTATTCTTCGGGCTATGTTGGTAACTTTGGTTCTTTTGCAGATATCCTTGTTTTGGATTGTCACTCAAAGAAACTCCAAGCATAGCACTCTCCATAGTCCGCTGATTAATTTGAAACTTTAGCATACGGGCAATCGTGTAGAACGTTGATTAGGATCCATAAGTCATCATTGGTAACACGCACTGTTAAAAGACTTTCAAGGTTTGAGATATTTGGATGAGAATCCATGGCGTTTTCCGAACGCTAATTCTTATATAACGTCAAAATTAGAATCAAAATGACACCGCAGGGTTGCCAACTGCGCCGATATTTTTATGAAACGTGATTTTTTCTATGAGCACGAGTCAAGCTATTCACACCCTTTGTTGTGTGACGGCACGGCTGATTTAAAATCAATAAAGAGTTCAAAGAGATCACTTTCCCGATCACAGTGAGGGATCTATCAGTGATCTATAGATCTTTTGTTGGCCGAAATCGATCTCGATTCTGATTACGTCGCGAACGGAACGATGCCAGCAATGAATTGTTATGGTTTTATAGTCGTGTCTCGGGTCAATGAGTGTGTGATTGGATATTTTTTCACGACTCCTGACCATTTTGTACCCGGGGTGTCTTTTGAGTTCCTCTATTTAATTATAGAAATTGAATAACCGAGTATATTCGTCAGTGAATAACTGATACTTTTTCCTTGAATGTGGATCGATATTTTAGAATTATTTTCGAGGTATCGATTTCTGGAAGCGTTATTCGTTATTATTAGATAACAAAAATTTTTTTTTTATTATAATATGCATTAATAACAAATGTGTAATACAAAATTTAAAAAAAAACACGTAACGTTAAATATTTGTCTGTTAGTTTAAGGACGCCATATTTATTTGAAACTAGCGGCCCGTCCCGGCGTCGAACGGGTGGACATTTTTAACATTTCCCTTCACTGCTCTGCTCCTATTGATCGTAGCGCAATAAAAAGTATACTTTAACCTGCCCAGGAGTATGAAGAATAATTGTATTAAGTTTCGTTAAAATCCGTCGAGTAGTTTTTGTTTTCTATAAAAACGAACATACAGACAGACAGACACAAAAATTTTACTGATTGCATTTTTGGCATCAGTATCGATCACTAATCACCCCCTGATAGTTATTTTGGAAATATATTTAATGTACAGAATTGACCTCTCTACAGATTTATTATAAGTATAGGATTACGCGTTGCGCCAAAGATCATACAAGCTGTATCCAGTGACTTCGCTCGTAGTTGTTTTGTGATATTGAATAGCCTACAATTCTTTTGTTAAATTCAAAAGATCTTTATTCAAATAAACTTGTTTACAGGCACTTTTAAGTCGTCATTTATTTTTTTAATACAGGGTTCGAAAAGTTTTTATCTGTTGAGAAGAGACCGCAAGAAACTCGGCGTGACTGGAATATATTTACTGGCCGAAATAAAAGTAGGTAAATATGTCCTTTTCCATCCCATATAGTACATCCCATCCATTAGTTGCACACCAAATTTTATAGTGGTTGGTTAAACTATTAAGGCATCAAGAGGTAACAAACAAATTCACTGTCATATTTAAAATGATAGATATTTCGTTCGATACAAAGCCTGCATACTGGTCACGCCTGGCGGCGATGCGACCGCATTGCAATACGTGCTACTGCGTTTCGATTGCAGATCTGCAATGCTTCCAGGCTTGCGTTTGTAACTGATTAATACGTTGCAAACTTGTAATGTCGTATTGTAAGTCGTTGCAAAAATAAAGCAATGATAAAGGATCTAATTCATTTGTTTTCTATGTTTATTTTATGCGACTTTGATAATTGTTTTTTAGAAAAAATGGAGAACCTTTTTATGTTTTTATTTATTTAGAAACTAAACAAATGAACTGTGTTAATCCTCTGTATCCTATAAATTCACTGCCCTATGTCACCTTTCAAACCGAAACACAGCTCTGCATACACAACTGCTGTACGGTAGAAACACGAATGGGACAGAGGTGCCCAGGCAAACGACTTTTGTACAAAGTCTCCCTCTGGTACGGAAAAGGCACGTATAAAAAAATGATAACATATATACATAAAAATCCATAAAAATCGACTTTAATTATGTACACATACACATTCATGAATTCATTTTATAAATATCGTATATTGCAGTGTTATCCCGGCATGGCATAGAATGGGCTATCCCTTCCTTTCCCGTGGGTGTGGTAAGAGACGACTAAGGTAACCATCATTACAGCCTATGTTCAGCAGTGGATAGTTAACGTATGGTATGGTGTATAGAAAGTATTTGAATTAAAGACAGAAACACGTGATTACTATTTAAAGGTTACGCAACAAGCAATTTTTGCTCCGGAAAGAAAAACGCCAAGTTCAGTAACTTCAAAATTAATATGGAGCAAGGTTTATTGATTGCAAAAATTATCATGAAAATCGGTTCAGAATTGCCAATTTAATCGCGTAGAATTTTTCCCAAAAATGACAAACTTCATACGCAGACAAGTTTGTTTTGGAAGTTTCTTAAAAATATGTTTTTTTTTTTCAAATAGAGCGAGTATTATTTATTTACGTAATAAAATAGTAAATTATATATTTTTTTCAAATCTATTTACTAGTTTTGATGTATCTAAGTAAAAACTCTAAACGTGTACCGAGTTGTAGATAATCGGTGTCCCCATACGTTTGTCTCTGAATGTCTCTGATTAATACATTCCCATTCCGATCCAATAATCACCGGGTATGGCGAGTAATGTGTACACGTACAGTGGATTTCAATAGATAAATAGATAGACAGACAGATGTACAGATATCATTATTTAAAACAAAAAACAAGTAAGTACAGAAAAGGAAGAAATAAAAGAGGAGAAAACCAATGGATTTCAGTGTATCCTGTCATATCTATGGCGCTAATCAGTCCTAAAGTCGACATTCATTATTTTTCATCAGGGTGACGTCAGTTTCTTAGTTATTCCCGGTTGCGTAAAAAAATTATATCTTTATTTTTACTTGCTGTATCCCGTGACTTTATTCGTGTGAATCAGTATATAAAATCCTTTATGCTTAGTTAGAATATAACCTATATGTAAGCCAATTTTAATTCAAATCTGTTCAGTGGGTTTTGCATAAAAGAGTAACATCCATCCATCGTAACAAGGTTTTGCATATATAGCCCTGGCTTCACATGGGCACTAGTATCACACTAATATACATTATCTGTGGCACGGGTAATCAATCTTTTGATACCTTGGATTATATTATTGTAGTTTTCAAAGAGAGCTCTATTTTTTTTTTATAATATTATGATCTATATTAGCTACTAATATACATGTTTTTTATAGTCAGTTCGACTTCCACATGGTTCGCCCTGGAAACCTTCGTGCTGAATTCCAAGTGTATACATTAACTGGCCTGCCTTTCTATTTTTACCTATCATCCCTCACTTGTACTCCACCACCGTATACTGTTAGCACAGGCTATTCCATTATCATCCATTAAAAAAAGTAAAAGTAAAATAATAACAATAAATTCATCATCATTTAAAACATAATAAACTATATGCAGTGGTACTTCGACATACGAATTTAATTCGTTCCGTAACCTTGTCCTTATGTCAAATTGCTCGTATCTCAAAGAAATTTTCTCTATTAAATTTAATTGAAATACCATTAATCCGTTCCAGCTCCCAAAAAAAACACCTCAGTTATTTTTGTTAAGTGTTTATGAATAAGAGAAATGTATTTACAAGAAGAAACATAATAAAAGATAAAGTGAAGTGCTTACGGAAGAGCTTAATTTTCGTCACGCTTTGCTCAGTTTCACCAGCAAATCGTTTAAAAAAACTGTCCAAGAAGGTTTGTTTCTTCCTCCCTTTCAAGATATTACGGCAATAAGTTAGGCAAATATTGTTGAACAACTCCAATACACGACCAGTTGCAACTTTTTCGGGGTGATTTGTATCTACAAACTCTACAACTTTCTCTCAGATTCCCAAGATCTCTTTTATATCTCTTGTAGAGATCTCCTTTATATCCTCTTCCATCTCCTGAGACTGTTCATGGACAAGTTCGTTAACATTTCTCTCATCCACCTCCAGACCCATGGATTTTCCTAGAGAAATAATTTCCTCTACTACTGACACTTCAGGTTCCAATTCTTTGAAAGCCCTTTCAGTTATAGTCTCAGGCCAAAGCGTCTTCCATGCAGAGGTTAAGGTCCTTGTCGTAATACCCAGCTAAGCCTGATCAATAATTCTTAAGTATATCACGATGTTAAAGTGGTCATTCTAGAATTCTTTAAGAGTAAGGTTTGTGTTCTCCGTCACCTTAAAACAGCGCCGAAAAATGAACTTGGTGTACAACTTCTTAAAATTAGAAATTACCTGTTGATCCATGGGCTGCAGGATAGGAGTGATGTTGGGTGGTAAATAGAGAACCTTTATAAACTTGAACTCTTAGAGTAAATCATCTTCGAGATTTGGTAGGTGATTAGTGGCATTGTCGAGGACGAGAAGGGCTTGCATGGGTAGGTTGTTTTCCTGTAAATATTTTTAACAGAAGGGCCAAACACCAGGTTTATCCACTCCACAAAGAATTTCCTGGTGACCCATGCCTTCGGATTTACCCTCCACATAACTTGCATTTTTTCTTTTAAAATCTTATAAGTCTTAAAGGCTCTGGAATTTTCTGAATGGTATAGCAGAGGCTTGATTTTGCAGTCGCCACTCGCATTGGCGCTAAGTGCTAAGGTTAATCTATCTTTCATGGGTTTGTGACTTGGCATCGTCTTCTCCTTTGCCGTTATGTAAGTCCTGTTCGGCATCCTTTTCCAGAAAAGCCCTGTCTCATCACAGTTGAAGACTTGCTGGGGAATGTATCCTTTAGCTTTTATCAATTCGGAAAATGTTTTGATGCAAACCTCAGCTGCTTTTACATCCGAACTTAATGCCTCACCATGCCTGACGACGGAGTGAATGCTGGTCCTTTTCCTAAAGTTGTCAAACCAGCCCCGACTGGCTTTAAACGAGTCTTTCGATTCCTCTTTTGTGGAAGTATGTGGGATCTGCTTCAGCAAATCACCGTAAATGGCTCATTCCTTCTCACATTTTTATTTATGGTTTTGTGTTAAGGTTCATCCTTGAATCTGCTTCTCTGTCTCCCATACCATCAATAGTTTCTCCATCTTTTCATGAAGAGAGGTCCGGAGCTTAGAAATTATTGTAACGCCTTTAGCTGGTTTTATACCCCTTATCAACTTCTTCTGTTTAAGCACAGTACATATCATTGATGTCCTACGCCCGTACATCTTCGCCAAGTCAATTACTCGCACATCTTGTTCATGTTTTTCTATGATTTCACGTTTTAATTCAATAGACATCATCATCTTCTTCGGACCCATAGTTATAAAAATAAATGTTATAATATTTTGTAAATGTATAAAAAAACTTTGGTAAATTGGGTTTGCAAAAAATGCAAACCCAACTTACCAAAAATGCTTCAAAAACGAAGAAAACAAGCACATAGACTGAAATCTAGCATGAGGTGGGAGAAACTGTTAGACGCTGCACACGGCGCCAAGGTGCGCCTCGCATGTTGGGATCGTGTGCAGTGGTATAGTATGCGATTCTTCGTATCTCAAATCTAATTCTCATCTTAAAATAAAATATCGCTCGCTCGGCGACTCATATCTCAAAACACTCGTATATTTTTTTTCAATGGATTATAATGAAATGGTTACCCCACCTGCGCTAACGATATACGCTGGCGGAGCACCAGTGAGGGATGACAGATGAGGATGAAAGGGTAGGTCAGTTAGTCCACCGTGATGAATACACCTAGAATTCAGCACGATGGTTTCCAGGGGGAATCACGTGGAGGTCGACTTGATACACCTGTATATTACCTCCCACACTCGTATATTAGGGCACTCGTATGTCGAGATATCACTGTAATTTATTAATTTAATTTTATATTAATGTCCGTGCTAAACATTCAAATTTTGCGTAACTGATAGCTCCATCTTTGTACGGATATCTTCATTATAACGAAGTACAATTTGTAAAGTGAGTTCAGGAAATTTTTGTTTTGTTCATTATAAAATAGATGGCGTTAGCAGTAAGTAGTATAGACGAATAGTAGCAGTGGTCCGATCACCAACCGAAAACTGTTTTAATAGCTTCTAATTATACAACTCTAATACTAGATGGCGCTATTTCTATTTTTTAGATATAAAAACAAAAATAATTTGAAAGCAATAATGATGATTCTGGATTAATATACCTATAATGCTAGCGAAGTTACTATTCCAATATTATCAATCCATTGAAAAGAAAAACAAATTTCAGCTCAATCTAATGCCAACAAGTGGTTAAAAATAAATTGCAATTTGGAAAAATATGACATACAAAATTTGCAAGATAAAAGTTTGTTAATGTCTCGTAATCTTTTTAACAGTTTTTAAATTTCAATGTCATCAATTCTTTTTTTAACTTAATATGTTCATTAAATTATTATTATTTTATTAATAATACTCCTTTCCACTTTGGATTTGCTGGAAGAGAAGTCTTACAGAGTTAAGCTCGTCTGTTGTACATCTTTATTTAATATATATTATATGCTTGTAATTTTTTGTGTACAATAAAGAATAAACAAATAAATAAATATTAGTAAATATTATATATAAATTAATTTTAAAACGTTGTATTCGATTCTGAGGCGCCATTTCTCTTAACCTATTTCTATTAAAATTTTCAATTTGATGTCACAGAGAAGAACCAACAACCCATGAGGAATAAAGGTTCTTGAGTGGCCACCCTGCACAGGCAAACACAGTATAGGACAACCACGCACTAGATGGATCGACAACCTCAAATGCATTGGGGAAAGGGATTGTTATTAATGGGGTCATATAGCCCCATTACTAGCAATATACCTTTCACTGGTGCAGACGGGGTTGCCATACCATTATCACCCATTAAGAAAACTCACATGCATTGCAAGAAGTCTATAATGCAGGTGGCTCAAGACCATTCTTTATGGCAGTCTATGGGGAGCCCTATATTCAGCAGTGGACAGATAACGACTGATATGATAATCACAGTGAAATTTTTATCTTAAGGGCTAATATGAACTAATTTTCTAATAGATTTTTTTATGGATGTTAATGGAATGAGAATTCCGCCTTTTTTTTAAACGTCTGGAAAATGCTTTATGCAGATCCATACACCTTGTGGGGGGTGAATGGGTACTGTGGGAATCCCTCCGTAAGGTGAGACTGTACCCACCAAAAACCAGACGATATACCCTCGAGGTGCCATATGTCGCGGAGACATGGGTTCGCTTTCGCACTCACCACATCGCCGACGGCAGCGACCCGCCCCCTGATAGTAAGAGCAGGTCTCCTTTCTCAAGATAGGGTGGCTGGCATGCTCACCCTACCATTCGAGGGATGCGCCGGTATATTAGCACATCAATGACAATCCCGCCTGCGCTAACGGTATACGCTGACGGGGCACCAGTGATAGATGACAGGTGAGAATGAAAGCAGGTTAGTAACGAATTTCACAAGAATTTACCACGATAGTTTCCAGGGGGAACCACGTGGAGGTCAACCTGATAGGGTATATTGTTAGTAACGGGGCTGTTAGATCCCATTATTAACAATCCCTACCCCCCTTTCTAATAGATTACTATTAAAATTACTTTATGTTAGTCCATAAAATAGTAATGGCTGTAATCAAAATAAAAAATAGAGATAAATTTAGAGAATAAACACCTTAGAATCGGTCCCAATGTTTCTTTAAAACTTTAATATATTTACGGTTGTGATATATAAATATGTATACAATATAATGAAAAATGAAAAAAATATGTGAACAACAACTTTCATTGTTGCAATTTTTATATATTATGATTAACTAAATTTTTTTTTTTTACTAATTAGAATGGCAAACAATCTGACGGCCCACCTGATGGAAAGTGGTAACCGTCGCCTATAGACATGAGTAGTACCATGGACATAACAGAGTATACTGTTTCGCCCATGATACCACCCATGCGTTGCCATTCCTGAGGACTCAGGTGTTATTCCTCTGTACCCAGTAAATTCACGCCATATCCCACCCTCCAAACCGAAACACAGCCATGCAAACACAACTGCTTCACGGTTGAAACACGAATGGGGCAGAGGTACCCCTTCCTTTCTCGTGGGTGTCGTAAGAGGCGACTAAGGGAACGGTCGAGGGATGGGCAACAGCGTCCCTCTTAAAACATCAAAGCCTAACTGCGGTGGCAAAACCCTCTCTATAGAGAAGATCTATGGACAGTTAACGGCTGATAAGATGATGATGAAATTTAATTATTAATATGAGTTATTTTATTTTTAGTTTTCATTAATTAATAATTTATTAAATTATCAATAATAATTTATTAATACATTTTGAAATACACCTTTAATTCTCACTACCTGACTAATGCTACTTACTAATAAGTAATCGATTAGTTACTGAAGGGCTTTGAAGAATCAAAACTGCAACTTTCGCTGTACGGTATTTTTAGGGTTCCATGCTAAAATGGAACAAGAAACTATTATAGTGTGATTTCGTCCATCCGTCTCTCAAAATGTTAGTAACTTATGTCAGTAACTAATACCATTTTATTATTTCGAAATTATTATTTTTTTTACTCGACTATAGCGAAGCAAAATGGAGTGTTATAAAATTTTAAATATGCAATCGATTTAATTGAAAAGCTATTTCTATGATAGGAGGTTAAAAAAATATCTCTAAATTTTAAAGTAATCTGAGTGGGTATATCAAATTGAAAGAGCTTTATCTTAATATTGTTAGTTTTTATTTATATTTATGCGCAGTTATCGACTTAGAAAATAAAAAAAAAAAAACCGTAACCTATCTCCGAAATTTCCGAAGTTTTTAACTTCGGAAATTTCTATGAAAAGATATAGTTCATTTTTTATACCACGAAGGTGACAAACTATAATGTATATGAATATTATAGAAATAATGAAACCGTGTTCTTAATTATGGTAATGTAGTTTTTGAGAAATCATAAAAAAAAATTCTAACCACTGTTATAGTCCAAAATAAAGAATTTTAATTTGCAATAACAATATAAGTAATCATTAAACATTTATTTGACGTCTAAAACACAATAAATATTTTTTTATATACGTATTTTCTTTTATATATTCAAATAAAATTTTATTCAAAGAAAAATAAAACCTATTTACATATTATGTACGGACCCCACGGCGTGAGAGTTCAACGCGTAATTGACCGATTTCATTTATTATGAGCCCTTCAAGCACATCGTAGCAAGTTCAATGTTATAAGAACTTGATGTACGTAAGTACAAATACATAGTTGGACAGTACCGTTATTTCGACCTACTCATGCTACGGTTTGTAAGAGTTGCCAGTACAGATCGCTTTGCCGCATCGAGTGAACGCCAAAATGTTTTTCGAAAGTATTCTTTTAAACGCGATCGTCTCCATAATATTAATTGTAGCTTTAATAATCGATTATGTTACAAAATTCTTCAGTTATTGGTACATCAGGCATATACCTTACAAATCATCCATACCGTTCTTCGGCTCCGACTACCACAGAGTCTTAGGCATCAGAAACACTACTCAGGAAGTGAATAAACTTTACAAAAAATATCCCGGGGAGAAATTTGTCGGATGCATTAAGAGCAGGATGCCGGATCTGATCGTTAGAGAGCCGGACGCTATAAAGAAGATGCTGTCAACAGATTTTGTAAATTTCCACAGCAGAGGCCTTGGCTTGGACAAATCTCAGGATGTTTGTTTACGAAACAATTTGTTTTACGCTGAGGGAGAGAAGTGGACCTTATTGCGTAGAGGACTAGAGTCCATAATGGAAAGTCTCCATTGCGACTTTGAACATAACTTACATGACTGTTTGTTAGGAACAAATGGAGATGTTAACGTTCAACAGTTGTTGTCAAAGGTATTGGATGCCGTCTTCAAAGATTTGTTATTGGATAGTAGTTCTGATACGACAGTAATAACGAATATAAGGTCGGCAGTGCAGAGTCGTACTTTGGTAGACAGAGTGAAGAGTTATTTGAAAAATATTTTCCCTTCGTTGTACGTTTTACTTGGCCTGACTACGCTACCGGAAGAGCCATCAAATAAAACGGAAAAAGCACTTGAACAATCAAAATTGATGGAAAAAATAAAGAGCGGTTCCATTTTTCAGTTAGGCATAAAGGAAAAAGGAAACAGATCCGTTAGCGATGTAGAATTCGCGTTTTCTATGCTATCCTTATTCGTCACCGAGGGTTATGTGCCTTGTCATAATTTGCTAACAGCAATACTTTACGAATTGGCAAAGTGCCCAGATGTTCAGCAAAAAGTGAGATATTCCGAAGAATATTTGGATGCCGCTATAAAGGAGGTTTTGAGGCTTCATCCACCATACTCTGTGATCACGAGACAATGTGTTAACACCTATAGTTATGATGCTACCCTGTTGATCGATAAGCGAATAACTATTAATATACCAGTAGATGCATTGCATAAGGATAAAAATTACTATAACCAGCCAGAAGTGTTCAATCCAGACAGATTTTTGGATAATTCCAACGTGCACAGTTATGCCTTCTTACCGTTCGGTACTGGTCCAAGAAAATGTGTTGGTAAGATATATATTTTCTTTTACTTTTTCTATCACAATATATAACTGGTTCACTTGGTAAATTTAAATTCAGATCATCTTTATTTGACTTGTTTACAAGTACTTTTGATTCTTAATTTTTTAAATATACTGCAGGGTTTAGAAGGTTGTTATCTATTGAGAAGAGCCCGCAAGAAACTCTACAGTGACTCTTTTAAATATCTGTTAACATATACATATATTATAAGTACATATATGTTTATTTAAGTGATAACTATATCTAAAATTATATGGTCATTAAAAAACCCGTGCATGATCGACTAAAACCGTGCACGTTTGTTAATAGAGAGATAATATGAGTATAATGTATATTCTCGGAGACTCAGTGTATTACTTTTATATTTTTTATTTTGTACCAAAAAGAGTAAGCAAGCTTTTCAGCTTGCTTACTTTTTTGCCATTTCTGGCAAAAGGTTAGTCACATAGCTCGAAGAACCGACAAACGATAGGGAAGAAACGTGTTTGAGTAGCGACCTCGTATAGACAAAATCAGTGTAGAACGACCCGCTACTAGATGGAGTTACGACTGTAAAATGCAGGAAGTCAGTGAACGCAGGTGACTCAGGACCGTTCCTTATAGTAGTCTATGAGGATGGCCTATCATCAACAGTGAACAGATGACGGCTAACATATTGATAATTAAAAAAAAAAATAATTATAATGAAATCAGAAAATTGCACAAAAATAAACACACAGTTTAAAGTTCATATACCTAAGAAAATATTAGATTTGCGTAGATCTTTCTAATTTGACATTTATTATAAAATATGAAGTGATCATTGACGTAGATTACCTATTATAAATTCATATCTGATGATTAGACTTAAAGTGCCAAACAAGACAGCTCATTTGATGGAAAGTGGTGATTATTGCCTAAAAACATAAACAGTACTGTGAATACCACTTAATAGGCGGCAATGCCCATGGTACCTTTCATTCGATTCATTGATCGCCATTCGTAAGAACTATGGTTTTATGCCTCCATACCTTGTAATAGTATGGCCACTCTTAAAACCATAACACAGCCATGCAATCATAGGTGCTTCACGGTAGAAACACGAGTGGGACAGAGATACCCAAGCAGACGACTTTTGTATAGTTTCTTTCTGATAAATGTTACGTATTTATTTGTTACAATATTACTGAAAATAATACAACAACGGTTTTTACCAATTTATCCACTTTATTAACAAACCATATTTTATCACTATCACAAATAGTGCTTGTAATTTCGTCGAAGTTTCCTATTTTCTTAAATTTTATATAATTTATTTATCAAATATTTATATTACACAATTCATAGACATAGAAGAAATATTCTTGACTGACGACCTCTTATTAAATAAGAGTGACGACAAATACATTGCAGGAAGTCAGTGGATGCAGGTGACTCAGGACCTTTTCTTATGGCGGTCTATGGGAAAGGCCTATATTCAGCGGTGGACAACTAATAGCTGAGATGGTGATGGTAATGATTACACCATAGTAAAAATTCGTGCCATACTGTACAGTAAGAGTTCTTAATAGGAAAAGTTCTCTATTTTCATTTTTTTCTATAGTTACTATTTATGTCATATGCCTGTATTTATGTATACATTAAAATACACATATAAAAGTTAGCGTATTATGTATATAAATTGATTTAGCGACATTACAATATCTACCATGAATGTGTAAATTCAGTGTTACTTAAATGTTACTGTTACTTAGACCTATAGTGTTAAGTCTTATATTCTAACTTGATTATTGTACCACATAATATATTTTATATACTGAATAATCAACAAAACCGCGAGTAACAGCTAGTCAGTATATGAGATAAAAAAAAAATATTCTTGCACTGTAACCCTCGCTGAATCATTGCGAAAAACAAGTTAATTATAATAATAATATACTATGTTATATTATCTACCCACAATTAAGTTAATTCTCGACACTGATATTCAGAGATATCGTATACCTCTAGATAAAGAATCGGGTGATAAAAAACGGCCAGCCAACAGGAACTTTTGCGCAATATTATTTTTTTAAAACAAACCAGAGTGCGCCTTTTCGTATTGCAAATAATTTAAATAAATTGCTAAGACCAATTTTTTTTTATATGAATAGATAAATATTTTTACTAATTTACTATATTTAAAGTTAGATCTTTAGGAGCACGTTTGGGAAAACCGATTATAATTTGGTGTAGTAGTTAAAGCGTAACGCTGGTATAAATATATAGACAGAAAAAATCTAAAAAATATTGTTTTACTTTTGATTGATCTTATTATGGGCGCCTAGTTATAATTTTATTATATGAATAAGATATTAATTATTATAATAATAATTACCTATATCTACTAGGTATATAATAAATTGTATATCTATCTATCCAATATTTATATAATTAAAATAAAAATTAGACATTCTGACATCGAATACATATTATTTAAATTCTGTTCTCAAGTATCGATCAAAGTAACCAGTAACGATAAGCATCACTATGAATCGTGATGCTCTGTTTACCCCATTCTTTCATATATGGTATAAACGTGTGAGTTTTGTATTGTCTTAATGTTTTTATTTACCTTTACATAGTTGCAATATACATTTTACTCTCTCTTACTGAGTAAAAATTGCTATTCTCATATGCTTATTCACGCACACGACGATAAAAACGTTTGTCAGTTTTTGTTAAAGAGTTTATTTTGAGATACACCATCTAGAGATATATGATCTAAATCCACGTTATAAATACCTCGTATTTAGATTAAAATAACAAAGACGTAGAACAAAAGTAGAATCATTAGTATAATGATATTTACGTAGACAGAGTCTTTTTTTTATACAACTTAGAATGGCAAACAAGCTAACGGCCCACCTGATGGAAACTGGTAATTGTCGCCAATAGATATGAGCAGTACCATGGACATAACAGACTATATTGTTTCGCCCATGATACCTCCCATGCGTTGCCGCATGTGTTATTCCTCTGTACCCAGTAAATTCACGCCATATCCCACCCTTCAAACCGAAACACAGCCTTGCAAACACAACTGCTTTACGGTTGAAACACGAATGGGACAGAGGTATATATATATATATAAACCTAAATTTCTTCTACAAAAGTGATATTTTGTCCATCGTCTAATTGTTCAGACGGTAGTTTGATAATACCGCTACGGTAAGTTAAACTTATTTTTAAACCACAACATTCCGGTCAACGGCATCGAGGTTTGACATCATTATTTCGATTGTGAAGTTGAAACTTCACATAAGATTCACACTTACGAAGTGTGAATGTATATAAAACACCAGTTGTTAATTTACACTTCTGTATACAGGATGTAAAAGAAATCTTTAAAATTCCTTGTTTTGAAGAATTATTGTTCCATTTTCCCAAAGGAACATCCTTATTTTACTAAAATAATAAAAATGTAATTAGATGGATATCTTTATATGAAAGATATATATAAAAATTTATATGTACTTAAAAAAACATATCTTATAAAATTTTTGGCTTTCTCTCTCTGTCTATTTGTTCCGGCATTATGCAAAAACTACTATACGAAATTGGATATTGTTTCATAGTTGTATTCCTGAAAAATCTGATACACATTTCATTTTTATATGCCATCGAAAAGTAGTCTACTTCATTAGTTTTCCTACATCTGAAACACGTAAGAATTAGTAGGCAAAAACTTAGTCTTTACTAATATTATAAATTATTTGTTTATTACCTTTTAGTGCTTTTACAAATTAGTCAATCACTATGAAATTTGGTATTATATACATATCATATGGGACGCAGAAGCACATACGCTATTTTTATATCATTCAGTGAATATATCCCGGTCAAATAAACGAAGTTCCGGATAAAAGGTACTGAGTCTATGTGTATAAATGAAAAATAATATTATTATCGCCCATTCTAACACAACACGTTCAGTACATTACGGCTGAAGACCGCACCACTTGGAGAACACCGATGATGAGAGTGAAATTTTCATATAGTTACAATTAACAGTGATCAGAAAACGAAAAAGAGAAATGAATTGAAATACTAAGACGTTGCGTCCACCTGTTAGGCTAGTATAGGAGAATAGATCTATTTTGTTTTTGAATTTTTGGTTCAGTAAAATTTTTATCCTAATATATTGTATAGTATAAGCATTTTGACTCCATCCTGTATATTTAATAAATAGAAATGCCCTGTATATTATCATAAACCGCCGCAACTTCTTTGTGACAAGTTGTTTGACACAAACAATATTTATGAAGTACACACAATGGAATTACAACTTTCGCGACATTATCATACGATTGTATTTATTTTGACAAAGGGCCGTACAGTCACAGAATAAGATAATATAAAACAAATATCAAATTGTGAAAGTTTTATGAAAGTGTAATACTTATAATAAAATCGATGTTTACTACTATTGTATTGTACTTGGTTACTGTATTTACATATACTGAAAACTTGATCTGTCGAGAAGGCGAAATTATATATTTTTTCACATAACATAAGACAGGATGTTTTGTGTACTGATTCACGCTAAAAAGACGGGGATATAGCTAGTCGTTAATAGATTTATATACAAACAGGGAGTTTTTTCCTGAAGATATTAATACGGCATATCTACAGTTGCGTTTGCATGGTTGTGTTTCGGTTTGAAGGGTGTAATCTTCGATGTAATTCCGGCATAGAATAGGCCACCACTTCCTTTCCCGTATCTGGCGTAAGAGGCGACTAAAGCAAAGCGAGAAATGGGTAGCAGCGTCTTAAAACATCTCTAAAAACCTAACAGCGATTGTCAACCCGCCTGCCAAGGCACGGCTGCAATTGGTAAAATTCCCCTTATGAAAGACTCTTGTTTAGCCGTGAACAGTCAACGTCTGAAACGATGAAGGATGATATAAGCCTTGAGCATTTCCAGGTGATAATACGAGTATATGTATAATATCATAGATCAGGGGGAAAGGGATTGTTAGTAATGGAGACTGAGAATCCCATTACTAGCAATATACCCAACCAGGTCGACCTCCTCGCGGTTCCCCCTGGAAACTATCATGGTTAATTCCTGATGAATTCATCATGATGGGCTAACTGATCTGTTTTCATTCTCATCTATCACCCTTCATTGGTGCTCCGCCAGCGTATCCCGTTAGCGCAGGCGGGGTTACCATACCATTTTCATCCATCAAAAAAAAAACCATAGATCAACACCCTTACAATATTAATACCACAGACTAAAGAACTCTTTGTATACCCGCTACTATAAAAAAAAAGATACAACCAAGAGGGACCTTAAAACCTCTGAATGGCAAGTGATTTATTGTCATAATTTTAATATATCCAATGACGAAGCAAAAAGTTTTTTTATCGTCCTTTATAATAGTTATAGAATGAAAGACATTAGGAGTCGAATATGAAACCCTTTACCTGACAAAATTTACAAATAGTTATACATAGAAAATTCGTTTTTTTTTTGTGTAATGAGCATAGTGACTTAGCAGTTGACAACTAAATTCGTATAATAGAGGTCGCGAGGTCAAATCTGACACTATGAAATGATGTGTCAATTGACGTAACTCTATGTTATTCCAAACATTATAATAAACATTATAATAAACAAGCACAACAACAGAGTTTATTGAACTGCACTTATTTGTTATGTACTTTTTTAGCATGGGGTTCTTAAAAAGGGATGAAGTTGGTTCTTCAGGGTCGGCAACTCACGCGTAATGCTCCTGGTATTGGAAGTGTTCATGGCCTACGGTAACTGCTTACCATCAGATGGCCCATATGCTTGTTTGCCACTTTAGTGTTTTAAAACAAGTCATAAAAATAAAATAAAATCTAAACAAGAACTATTTCTGTAAATGAATGATATTTAAAAAATCAAATATGTAAGAGATTTTAATAAAAGTAATTTAATAGAAGTCAAAAGAGTATTTTTTAGAAATCATGTCTGTTTCTGTCTGTATGTTTGTTCTGGTATTGCGCAAAAACTACTACACTGAATTGAATGCGGGTTTCAAAGTCTAGTCCCAAATCTAGTTTCAAAGTCCGAACGTCTAACTTAAAAATAGGTGTTATGTTTTATTTTGATACGCCATCTTGAAATAATTTATTTCATTGGTTTTCCTCCTTCTGAAATCCGCGCGTACGTTTTTTAATATATTTTATTTATGCAACTTAGAATGGCAAACAAACTGACAGCCCATCTGACAGAAACGGTAACAGTCACCTATAGACATGAGCAGTACCATAGATACAACAGAATATACTGTTTCGCCCATGATACCCCCTATGATCTGGCATTCATGAGGACTCAGATGTTATTTCTCGGTACCCTGTAAATTCACTGCGTTTACTGTGTATAGTACAGAGAGTAACTTTTAACAGAAAAAAATGTTTTAATTTTTAATTTTGCCAATTGTTACAGGTGAACAGCTGTCATTGCAAATTATTAGAAGAATAACAAGTATAATACTCAATCAGTACGAAATCGAACCTTGTGCAACAACGCCACTGACTCTACCTGTCACAGATCACAACTTTGGCAGAATCATCGAACGCGATATCTGGCTTAACTTTAAACCGATTAGAACCTGAACACTTACAGTATTAATAAATAAAATTCAGATGTAATGGTGTATTCACAGATGTATTAAGGAGCTTTATTGATTATTTTATTTTGGTATTACTATTGTATACAGAAATTAAAATGTATTATTTATATTTGTATTAAAAATTGCATATGGCCAGTCCTAAAATCGGTTTTCTGGATTATCGCTCTACAGAGTGAAATAGTAATCATTAGTTATACTCGGAAAATTTAATAAAAACCTGGGTTTTTTTTATGGGTGAAAATGGTATGGTAACCCCGCCTGCGCTAATGGGATACGCTGGCGGAGCACCAGTGAAGGGTGATAGATGAGAATGAAAACAGGCCAGTTAGCCCATCATGATAAATGCATCAGGAATTAACCATGATAGTTTCCAGGGAGAACCGCGAGGTGGTCGATCTGGTTGGGTATATTGCTAGCAATGGAATTCTCAGTTTCCATTACTAACAATCCCTTTCCCCCTTAGGGGAAAGGAACCCCATGGGTTGAAAGATGTTAAAAAAAATTAAAACTTTTATACTAATTGCTGGCCGAGACTAATAATATTTAAGAACAAAAGAAGGTAATAATGTAGTCATTATTACAATTCGACTGACAGTAATAACTGCTTATTTTTAAGTGCACTCTAAGCATAAGGGCCTACGTTAATCATAGAATACATTGTATATATATCTATCATTAAAAACTGAACCTACATCATATTTGGTTTCAAACATTTTCAATTACCTTTCTGCCATCAAAGCCCAAATTTTCAGTGATATCTTAATAAGAATATAATAATAATAATAATGATTCTTTATTTGGAATAAAAACATTGGTTACAATATTATTGAAAAACGATGATATCCGCAGAAGTATAAAACTGTGTCGCGAATATCAAACAAAATAATATTATATAACGTTTCAGAATGCCAGCAGATTACTTTTTAAATAATCACTCAGATAAATTTATAAATATTTATCAATTAAGTTAAAGCAACAGCGTATATATTAACATATTCAAATATTCAATTGTTTTTGAAAATTAACAGACATTTGCAACATTTCCATAATTAAAGATAATGGCTGCTTTTTCTAAGTAAGTTTTTAATCTCTTTGAAGTATTCTAAATTTGAAATTGAATGTTTTAAATTATAGAACGGGGTTCAATGGTGGGATTTCTTAATCACAAATATGCATATAAATTTTTCCTTCGACTGATTTGTTATCTTTTTATGGCCTGTCTTAACTTGGCAACAGGCTTTATTAAAATTTATGTTTTTAATACGCTTTACTTTTTTTTGTGTTCAATGGGTATTTAATTGTTTTTATGTTCAATTTAGCCTTAATTATATAATTACAAATAAGAAATAACCTATAAACTGATAAAAAGTATTTTTTGTTAATTTATATATAGACAAAAATGATTATTTATGTACTTTTGTACGTATTATGTTGCAATGTTCCATGGGTAGATGTAATTAAATTATTGTAATTTATATGAAATAATTAAATTATTTAAAAATTAATCAAAACCAGTTTTAGTTATCAGAGTCTCATATTTATTTTAAATATTGTAATTGTTATGGGTTGTGTTTGATTTTGATATTTTATTAAATATAATTTAATACTTTTTTGCACTTTTTTCTATACTTGTAAATTCAAATTACCTTATCTGTGCGTAGTATTATGTTGCTATAAGTTGTAAAAAAAACCGATCTGGCAACGCTGCTCTCCAATGTAAATACTATGTATAGTTACATACAAAATTTTATAACGATTGATTGTACCTTTAATATAGAGGGGATTTAATACAAAGTCCCTCACCAGAGGGAGACTTTGTACAAAAGTCGATTGCTTGGGTACCTCTGTCCCATTCGTGTTTCAACCGTGAAGCAGTTGTGTTTGCATGGCTGTGTTTCAGTTTGAAAAGTGGGATATGGCGTGAATTTACTGGGTACAGAGGAATAACACCTGAGTCCTCAGGAATGGCAGCGCATGGGGGGGTATCATGGTTGAAACAGTATACTCTGTTATGTCCATGGTACTGCTCATGTCTATAGGCGACAGTTACCACTTTCCATCAGGTGGGCCGTCAGCTTGTTTGCCATTCTAAGTTGTATAAAAAAAAAATATTATCATTGCCATTATCCTCATCATATAAATTATTGACTATCCACTGCTAAGCATAGGCTTCCTCCATAAAGGAAAGTTTTGCCATTAATTGCCACGCTTGGTACACAGTTAGGCTTTTGTGATGTTTTTTGGTAACCATGCCTGTGCTAACGGGATACACTGGCGGAGCACCAGTGAAGGGTGATAGATGAGAATGAAAACAGGTCAGTAAGCCTATCATGATGAATTTATCAGGAATTAACCATGATAGTTTCCAGGGAGAACCGCGAGGAAGTCGACCTGGTTGGGTATATTGCTAGCAATGGGATTCTCAGTCTCCGTTACTAACAATCCCTTTCCCCCCGCTACCGATTATTCCTCGACTATTAAGCTCCCTTAGTCACCTCTTACGATACCCTCGGGAAAGAAAGTGGTAGCCCATTTTGTATCGGGACCACACGGCAACTTCCCAAGAGATAATAAATTTACTCACATTTATACGTACTCGTATAATATTAGTAAGAATTTACTCATGACCTTCTTTCAAAGGCCATTTCCATTACATATAAAGGATGATGCAAACAGCACAAACACTTGATACGCACCCTTTTAATCACTCACACCAGATCGGTTAAGTGACGACCTTTAAAATCAATACGCGATAACGATACAGGGTGGTTCGAAATAGACGTGAACGTATGAACATGATGAAGGGGTTGGAAAGGAAATATTTTTCACAGCCGCCCGAATATTCGGTAATGGAGTGTGTCGTGAACCCAACAATACATTGTAGGGTCACTATGATAATGGTCTAATACAGGATATTATGACATAATTTGTTTCAGTTAATTTTAAACTTTCGCGTTGTTTACACATATTTTGAATTCATAATCGAGATTTTGAATTTCAAATCGACGTGATTACAGGAAAACAGTTCCTACATCCAGTCCAGTCCACTGGTGAACATAGGCCTTCTCCATAGACTGCCATATGCAACGGTCCTGAACTACCTGCGTCCACTGACCCCTGCAACGAATTTGAGATCATCTCTCCTTTTAATGGGGGGTTGCCTTTTTTTTTGTTGGATGAAAATGGATTGGTAACCCCGCCTTCGCTAACGGGATACGCTGGCGGAGCACCAGTGAAGGCTGATAGATGAGAATGAAAACAGGCGAGTTAGCCTATCATGATGAATTCATCATGAAGAATTAATCATGATAGTTTCCAGGGAGAACCGCGTGGAGGTCGACCTGGTTACGTATATTGCTAGCAATGGGATTTTTAGTCTCCATTACTAACAATCCCTTTCCTGGGGGTTCGCCTTATACTATGTTTACTTATACGGGATCTCCACTCAAGAACCTTTCTTCCTCATAGTTTGTCAGTTCTTCGAACCATGTGACAAGTGTATGATATTGGTGGAGAAGCTCTATTAAGCTTGTTTCATTTTACTTAATTCTATGTATTTTATTTAAGTAGCTTATGTTGTTAGAATATCTAATTAAACCGAGTAAAAGGAGTTTACTTACTTTAATTAGTTACTTAACTTAGTTCAGCTGCACAACCGCACGGAATCGCTGCTAACGGTAATTCGAAAAAACCTTTCTCAGTGCATACACTAAAGGCTGACGACCTACCTGTTGGTGACAATTGTTATCTTTAGTGTCCGTCCACACAGACCGGCTCGAAGAGAAAAGATTTTGATCGCGTTGAAAATAGAATTTTAAGATCATTGAAATAAGGTTTATATATATGTTGTATACGTTTTTAAAATAAACTTCCAGATGATGTTTTAAATTTAAATGAAAGAAAATATGAGACACAACACCATGTTAGTATGGAAGGGTCAACATTTTTTTTTATCATTTTCTAAACTATATTTCTTCAGAGAAATAATTAAAGATTGTGTTTCACAAAAAAACCGACTTCATATGTAACGAAACTAAGTTATTTTGTTCTAAAAATTAAACAATTGAACCGATTTTAATAAAATTTCTATAAGACTAACTTGTAAGTATATCCTTTCAGATAAAAAAGAATTTTTCAAATCGGTTTACAACTGATAGGAATATGAGGTAATAAACACTGAAAAAAAAAAGGAGGGAAAAATATCCGAATTTAGAACCTCCTTTCTTTGAAAATGGTTGTACATAATTTTTACTAGTAAAAATGGTGTTAATTATTTAGATTCCAACCTGCGTCCATCGCTTAAGATTTCTTTATTGACATGTATACAAACTTTTGAATATTAGTCCAAGGTTTATTCAAACTAAACCAGTATGTCGTTCGTGACAGTTCATAACCCGAATCGATATTTAACGAGCAGAACATTAGTCAGGTCACATACCTGAATGTATTCTTCGACAGACTGAAACATATTTTTAACTAGCTATGCTCACGATTTCATTCACGTGTATATTTGATAATATTTTCTATTCGTATCTTTTCCACGTATTCATATCTTTAAGACTGAAAGACGATGTAGTGACAAAAATCGAAAAAGGAATGTTGCATTGGTTTTGTCATTTGGAGAGGATGGATGAAAGAAGAATTACAAAAGAGATTTATCGAGCAAGAATGAATGGAGATGTTGGTAGGGGCCGCCCTAGACGGACGTATGTCGACCAAATAGGCGACGTGCTGAAGAAGGGCCAAATTAAAAGTACCCGTAACCGCGTGCGTTTATGAAAAGATTGATGAATGTGGAAGAAACGAAAGAGGTTTGTTTGAATCGAAGCATTTGGTGTTTCATTATTTCTGCCTACCTTAATGGGAGACAGGCGTGACAGATATGTATGTATGTATGTATCTTTTCCATTTGAATGAATGAATGAATGAGTATATTTTATTTGCATTATATAGTATAGGAAGTAAGCAAGACAATTTACAAACACAACAATACAATTGTATAAGTACAGTAAGGCGGTATTATTGCTGAGAGCAATCTTTTCAAGACAACCTTAAGGTAATGGACTAATTGTAGTATAAGTAGGTATGATAGTACAGTATGATTAAG